CATCTCATTGAAATGATCCATATGTATTCATGCACGCAGTCTTTACACCAGGGCATTTTGCCTTATTTGTTCATGCCTCTCCTTGTGTGGTCTTGCACTGATGGATGTGCACATTCCACTACTGTGGTGTTGTACATATTAGATTCCATGTCAAAAATAAAGTCAAATGGGGAGGAAGATCTATGTTTTATTTCAATTAACAAGAAAACAGTTGGGCCAAATAGTCCATCCAAAATTGACCACTTTCTTCTCGGCACATTCGAGATATGCTTCAATTAACAGGAAAACAATTGGACCAAATAACTCATCAAAAATTGACAACTTTCTTCTTTTTCTTCTTCTTCATCTTCTTCTTCTTCTTCTTGAACATATACCCTCTCCCTTCCCTCCTGCCAGATTTAAAGGGCTTCAGCTGATCGGCGGGGACCACGTGGCCTTGCCAGTCAGCTGGAGGTTATGGTTCTTGGTTGTTTTTATGGCTCTTGGTTGTTTTTATGGCTCTTGGTTGTTTTTATGGCTCTTGGTTGTTTTTATGATGAATTTTAATTGTATTTATATATGCATTTTATGTAAGCCACCCTGAGCCTGCCTTGGTGGGGAGGGTGCGGTATAAATTGACTAAATAAATAAATAGACAAAACCTAGCAGGAGGGAGGGAGAGGTGCAATCGCGGGCCACATGCTCAGCTCACAGAAAGACCCTTTAAAGGGTCTGGTTTGCTAGTGGGGGGGGGCGTGGCACGCGGGGGGCTGGTTTTGTGAGCCAAGCATGTGACCCGTGACCACCCCTCCCTCCTGCTAGACTTAAAGGTCCCTCCAGCTGATCAGCGGGCCATGTGGTAGGGAGCTCAGCTGGGATATCGTGCCAGATATAATGCCAGTCTGCCCTTCCTCCGAAGCAGCCATTTTCTACAGGGGAACTGACCTACACCCAGTTTGGTGTCATGGTTTAGGAGCGCGGACTCTAATCGGGGAGAACTGGGTTTGATTCCCCACGACCCCACATGCAGCTGCTGGTTCCCAGCTGAAGCTCTTTAAATCTGGCAGGAGGGAAGGGATGGGGGGGGCCAGGCAGGTGGTTGCACTTGGGGGGGGCACCCACTCCCGGGATACCCCCCAATCCCCCTCCCCACTGGAGCAAGGAGGGGACCTGGCAACCCTATACATAAGTCAGCTGGGACCTTATGGTACCCCCCCCGGGGTCATTTCGTAGAAGATGAGGTGCAGGAGCTCATTAGCATAACTCATTAGCATAACTCATTAGCATAACTTATTAGCATAACTCTTTAGCATAACTTATTTGCATGTGCCACACCCCCTGACCTCACCGGAAGGGTGTCAGAAGGCAACACCCACCACCAGGGGTAATTTCGTAGAAAAAGAGGTGCAGGAGCTCATTAGCATAACTCATTTGCATACGCCACACCCCCTGATATCACCGGAAGCGTGTCAGAAGGCAACACCCACCACCAGGGGTCATTTCGCAGAAAAAGAGGTGCAGGAGCTCATTAGCATAACTCATTAGCATAACTCATTAGCATAACTTATTTGCATATGCCACACCCCCTGACCTCACCGGAAGGGTGTCAGAAGGCAACACCCACCACCAGGGGTCATTTCATAGAAAAAGAGGTGCAGCAGCTAATTAGCATAACTCATTTGCATATGCCACGCCCCCTGATATTACCGGAAGCGCGTCAGAAGGCAAAACCCACCACCAGGGGTCATTTAGTGGAAAAAGAGGTGCAGGAGCTCATTAGCATAACTCATTAGCATAACTTATTAGCATAACTTATTAGCATAACTTATTTGCATATGCCACACCCCCTGACCTCCCCGGAAGGGTGTCAGAAAGCAACACCCACCACCAGGGGTCATTTCGTAGAAAAAGAGGTGCAGGAGCTCATTAGCATAACTCATTAGCATAACTTATTAGCATAACTTATTAGCATAACTTATTTGCATATGCCACACCCCCTGACCTCCCCGGAAGTGTGTCAGACGGCAACACCCACCGCTCAGGCACCACTGAATTATTTTGGATT